ACGGTGATTCAGCTCCAAGGTAACGGCAACCGTTAGACATCCGTTGGTTAGACGAAGCGGTCTCTCGCCCTTGAGTGTCGAGGTGTCACTGCCAAGCTATGTCGAAATGTGCATTCCAATGCAACTATAGAACACCCTGTACAAATATACCTTGCCTAATGCCACGTCGATCGAGAATAGAAGAATTGCGACTTAGGAATCAGCAAGGTTGTTGGATTTGAAGTTATGAATTTGAGGCGGTTTGTGAAGGGTTGTAAACGGATGAAATTAAGGTTTTGGTTATTAAGTGATTGAATAGTGGACTCAAGTTTCGCAATGGAAAAGCGGTTACTAAAACTGGAGCATTGGTTGAAGACAGGATTATGAAGCATTGTTAATCATGATGTTGCTTTCGTTTGTATTAATTTCCTCTTCTTTTATCATGGAATGATTTAAAATCGATTTTAACTAAAATGTATTTTTATCATGCAATGCAGTATTTTGTAGAAGGGTACCTGAGGTGCTACAGTGCTAACATACTTTCAGACAGTCGCCAACAAGATCCTGAGGAAAAGCTTAGTAGATTTTGATGGTTGGAAAATGGATCAAACAGTTGTATGATTACACTTTTAATTAATAGTCCCGACTAGAGACAAATTCAGTCTTAGAAACAGCAACAAATCTACACAGATCTATATCCATTTAACTCTCCTAATAAACTTAAACTGTGCCGACACACATAGGTACCTATATAGTTTAATCTTTTCCGAACATAAGTTTGAACCAGAATAGCTGGAGCTTAAAAAGAAAACAATATTTTCTAGGAACCGTCCCAAATACGAGTATTGATCAATCATTGATCTGGTCACAAACACTGTAAACCAGCAACTGCAATGTTGTCTAATATAATTAAAATATATTGCAAAAACTAGATACATGTTTTGGCAAATAAAGTTTCATACAGTTCCATCTATCTAGTTACAGTTCAGAATATCCAGTTCAAGAAGGGAAAAGACAAGAATGGGAGGGGTGTTCAAGAGGGTTGATAAAAATACATATAAGGTAACAGCTTAAAAAGGTATATTCTAAAATCTATCCTAGACATAATGTATCACTCCTGAAACAAGTGTAAACATTGTGAACAAATAAGGTAAAACCATGCTTTATTGTGCCAAGATAAACTGGTCAGACTGTATATGAATGGTTGTGAAAACGTTTTGTTAAACCTTGCTGTTGGTTTACAACGTTTGTAAACAGTCCAAGCAATAATGAGGAGTTGAAAAATTCAGGGGAAATATAGTTCACGATTTAAAAGAAACCAGTAATACAAAAGACAGCTAAGAGGTTCAAAGTGATTTGTCTAGAAAGCATTTCTTGAAATCTCTCAACCACTGACACTCTTCCAACTGGACATAAACATTGAGAAAACATCAAAGAAGGACAATATTCTATCGTGCCAAAACAAATTCCCCCAAGACTATTTGGTTTGGCAAGATATTTAAACTGTGACTGACATGCTGTGTGGGCGCAGGAAATAACTCGGTTTGCCAAAAGAAAGACATGCATAATAGAACAGTTTATGGAGCGTCGTACAGCCTTTCATATGCGTTTAACACTTGAAGGTGGGAAAGAGGCTATTTAAAGATTGAATACGACGAGGCCACACATGTTAGCTCGCTTTACAATGTAGTTACTTTGTACAAAACTGTTGTTTTTTAAATGGTTTTCCTTTTGAACGTGTGGAGTGTGATCAATTGGGGAGAGTACAAATTGTCATGAAGAAATTCTATTTAATAGGCTGAGAATAAATCAATCATCTATCCGACCACTCTTTTGTAACAGCGTCATACTTTGTTTGTGTATATAACAATTTGCTAATACTGTATGAGTGATTATACTGTTCGCTCGCCGAGATATCAGAAGGTTGGTATGATCCTAAGAAAATACTTAATACATTTTGGTGAACCTAAATGTTAATTATCAGTACCAGGATCGACACCAAGCTTTGATTGGATTTAATAAAACACACCTGCTGATATGGCGACTTTCGGTTTGAGGAGTGGCGTCTTCCAACCGTCTACCCCTACTCAAGATGATCGGATCGTTTATAATTTTGTTGGGCTAGTTAATATGAAATTGTTTCTTTACTTTTACTCTTTGATTCTCGACTTGACCGAGGTTCTGAGACATTCTGGGCTGTTTGGAACTGGCTTGGTTATAGACGAGGAGGTCAAATTCGTTTCCCGACGATCGATAATAGCTTCTCTATCTTGCAAATTATGTATATATTTTCGCTTCTTAAGTCTTCAGCATTTCGTTTTAATCTTGAAAATTATTAGAAAATATTACACAATTATGTACCTAGTTAGCTAAACTATAACTAAATTCAATAACACGTTAGTCCAAACTTACCAATACAATTATTCTTGTTTACACATCAAACAAAAACAAATGGTGACAATAAAATAACCTGAATCAGCTGTTTTGGTTAACTGCAGCTAAACAGATATTGACGATAACATGGGCCCTCAAGGACTATAGGACGGAAACTGGATTTTTGCCAGCCTTGTGACCAACTCCAATCGATTTCCCGTGGTTAAATACCCCATATTCTACAAAAAATATCGCCTAACGAAAAAAAACTTTGCCCGTACACGCGCTTGTTTTTGAGTACCGGTATTAGATAAATTAGCCTGGCTGAAGAAACTGATGATCTTAATGATGTTGCCTGTGTAATTTATACATAAATAATTGACACAATAATAGGTTTTTACAACCCGTTTCTTGCGTTTTTACTTCCTTGGTCGGGTAGCACCAACCCCGCGCTGCGCCAGATTAAATCAGTATCATGATAGCGCGTCTATTACTTATTTTTTCATGTATACGTACAGGTTTTATGTTTTTTTATATTACTTATTGTTTGTATGTTATTTGTTTAAATTGTGTTTTTGACGAGTTGCAAGCCTTGAGAATGTTGTATTCACAACGAAACATGTAAGCTACTGAGCAATCATTCGACTATTTTACGGAGGTCCGTAAAAACCTGTTGTCTAAATATAATAAAGTAGTCCAGGGACCAGAAATATAAATTTTAATACATTTTGTACATTTGTATACAGGCATAAACAAAATAATAAATTTAACGCCTTTACAGCAGAATCGAATGTCTATTCAATACATGACGAAAAAATAATAAGGTGTATCGTATATGAATTTTACGAAAATAATAACTTATTTTGGATATTTTTACCTTCCGCATTCAAGGATACATTCATTGATTGTATATACTCAAGGTTTAATATTAAAATTAAAATTTATTATCAATGAGACTGCTCTTTTACGAAAGAGGTGATTGTATACTGGCTGGATAAAACTGCACTTTAAATATTTATCAAGCATCATTAAAGCCTACATATTTTTCAAACATCTTTAATGTAAGATAGACAACTGTTTATTTATTTGAAATGAATACAAAATTCAATTCTAGTTAGGTAAACCAGCTTAAGATACTCCATTATATAAATATGCACCACTAAAAAAAAAAAACAGTTTTCTTGGTATTCAAAGTTATAAACATTTATTATTGTCCGGATAAGCTAGTATTTGGTGGTATACAACTTGAGTAGTTTTCCACATTCCTAAACAATAGTTCTTCAGACGTAGTAAACATCATTAAAAGTCTTCCAGTCTTAAGCAATGACAACATTGATTGCAGATAGGCCTACATCCTGTAATATGCCATATTTACTCGAGGTATGTTATATAAAAATAGTACCGCACATAAAATAACGTAACAAATCGGTTTTGTAGCTATATTATTATAATAACAGACCAAAATAGAAAGTAAGTATCTCAAAATTATTTTTCGATGTTTGAAGCTACGAAAACCTTGAAATTTGGATATACAGAGTTTTCAAACTGTTTAGCAAGCCGGGTAAACTACGGTTGTCATTTTACAAATTCATCGTCCTTAACAAACAGTTAATTTGAATTTCGTGTAACTGTTGTTCCATTAGTATTATTATAATATACCCTATGGTAGTACATGCAAAAACCAATGGACCAAATTGGTCATTGGTTTTTTTTAATCCGTGTGTTAATGCCGCAATCATCTAGGACTAGCCCAATGTTTAAAAGTTCTGGCACAGACAATATAATACTTGTAGTTCTGGACTAGAACTAGCGTCCGAGGATATAAAGGTGGGACATAAAAATGTAAAAAATGAAATGCAAAATCACGTGATAAGGAATATTGATATAAGCTACAGTAATTGAAAACAAGCACTTCTTTGAAGTGATTCACCAATTATAGCTTTTTCTAACATTTTCCACATTCTAATTTGATTATAAAACATTCAGAATCCGTATCTATTGTGCTGTTTCCAACAACCGTAATACTAAAAGAAACTGTCTACAAAAGTCGTTTTAAACGCTTACAGCAAAAAATTTATAAAACGTTCATTTTGATAACGATTTAGGCTGAAGGTAGCACCATAGAAAAGGAATCTGAATCAGCTGTTTTGCTATAAAAAAACTTTTACATGTAATTGATACATTTCAATTACTCGAAAACGTTGAGACCGATGCAAACCATGTTTTCACCTTTTTCTGATGACCAGGTTCACTGTATTTTCTCAAATACGTCCCTTAACTGTGAAACTTTCATCAATTTGAAAGAAAACATCGCGACAATAGAGACCGTAAAATTAGCTTTAAGAGACCACAAATGTTGTTATAGTGTAGGAAATGTAGCTGCAAATACATAAAAACTTTGAGGCCCTTACCAACCTATCTGGAGAGTTTTTGAAAACCATAATTATGATAGCGTTTCTTATACATCCCTTATAGTGAGATCTGTTTCATAAATTAAAAAAATTAATTCTTGGTGATCATCCTGGCTGAAACACCATTGATACAAAAACTGTATCAGCTGTCACTTAAAAATTAAATTTAAGAAAAGTAATCTCCAACATGGGGTTATATTGGTAGACAAGTATATCCATATGGTACTTTGTACTCACCTAAGGGCAGTAGCGCGGCCAAATACACACATATCCGTACACTCTTCATAGCTGCCACTCGCCAACTGACTCCGGACCACTCTCCACTCACTCGCTCCGCTCCATGAATGGAGGCCCCCTCCCCCTGTGACTTACCTTTCTCCGATTCCCAGTTTTGCTTCCTCATTCATAAAAGTGAAAATCCTGCTGCCTCCCACGACACGTGGGATAGATGGAATAGAGAAACCGATTTACTGGAACTGAATAAATCTGACAAGAAATACTTTAGGGATTTTTTTACTAGATTTTATTGTTGTTGGTTATTATTGCTAAATAACTTCGTGATCAGCATCGTACGTGTTGTTAAATTACCTGAATGTACAAAAATACTTCAAATAGCACTTTTAATAATATATTTACAATTATACTGTTTACTCTCCAAACCACATATTCTCAAACGATAATGAAAACCTCAAGAGCGATGTCATAAAAACCTTGTCTGTCCGACCACTATGCTCAATCAATTTTGTTCAACACTAACTTGCCTACTGATCGTTTAGGAGCGAACTTAACGTACGGTAGGAGCCTTAATTCCACCAATATACCTTTAAACCTTACTCTGCCACCAGCTAGAGAACTGGAGAGATCTGTACGAAGCTGAGAATATTGTTAGTAAGTTTAATGCTTTCAAAAGTACATTAATTATTTATCATTTCGACATTTAATTTCAAAAAAGAATTTAAAAACTCAATTCAAAAAACAAAAGACAAATTTTATGTTCAGCTGAACTTTTAAAGCTAAAAGAGCCATGTCTTTTATACTATGAGAAGACAAAGCACCTCAAATCTGATAATGTTCTATCTGAGAATCTATCTGAGAGACTATCTGAGATAAAAAAAATGAATATAGGGAACTAATTAGAGATTTAAAGACGAAAATGGTAAATTGACGAGATCGAAGAATCAGACAGTAAAACTAAAGGTATTTGGAAAGTAATAAATGAAAACAGGCCAAGAAATAAGGCAAAGCTGTATTGTTTTGCTGTATGCTGTAGAAGCTGAGGTCCCATCCTACTAATATTATAAATGAGAAAGTTTGGATGTATGAGTAGTGTAAAAACGCTATTCACTGGATGAGGTGCAGCACGAGCAACCCCCAATTGTACCATAGCACCTCACCATGTGTACACGATATTTTACGTTTCACCTGTTTTGGATACATATGTTTTGGATATATATGCTATTTACTGCATGAGAAGCAACGTATAAAAAGGCTATTCACTGCAGGAGGAGCAACCCCAATTGTACCATAGCACCTCACCATGTGTACAGATATTTTACTCATGATGTTTCACCTGTTTTGGTTGTAATGTATATTTTATGTACACACACTATTCACTGGATGAGGAGGAATAACACCGTGTACTGTTCATAGTTAATGATAGTTCTTGCACTTCACAAATCTTATTACTTGATTGCTTTGCCTTGAATATTTATTTTGAGTGAGGTATTGGGATTATCACCGTGTAGTCTACTGTTTATAGTTTATGATATTTTACTGGGTGTTATTGAACTTAATAAATCTTTTTACTTGATTATTTTGGTTTGGATAAATATTTTGTGTAAAAATGCTATTCACTGTATATGAGGAGCAACACCGTGTACTGTTCATAGTTAACGATATTTATTGAGCATTATAAGTCTTGTTACTTGATTGCTTTGCCTTGAATATATATTTTGTAGGGGCTTTCTCACCAAATTGTCATTCTCTATTTTAAATACGTTGTTGTGTGTTCATTGATTTCATCTACACATTGACTAGTGAAAGGAAAAGGGGTCCTGCCAGCTGTCCAGACCCACCATCCTTCTCTCGTCTCGTGACCTCCATCCTTATTTCCAATGACACTATTATTCTAAGTGAAATAGATTAAAGAAAATAAATTTTAGTTTAACCAGTTGAATATAATTATTGGTGCTGCCATGAAAATGATGGGTGGGGGTTTAATAATAACTCCAAAATGAATGTCTAATAATTCTATAATTTGTCCTCAAAATAACCATTTAGATGATATATGAACAGTAATTCAGCAGGAGTAGCTTAGTATAGAATTATGCTCACATCATTATACATATAAAATTAACAATTGATTCTAATTGCTTCAAGTGTAAAGGCCTACAAAATCATTCTTTGAGTTTAGTTACTTTTAAATTGTTACATTTTGATGAAAACATAATATCAAAAACTTTGTATTTCTTTAGAAAACACTTGTAATAATTGAGTCTTTAACGATGGTTAATTAAATCAGACAAACTGACAACATGTGGCAAGTAGTTTAGATACATATAAAATTAACAATTGATTCTAATTGCTTTAAAAGTATATACAAAATCATTCTTTGAGTTTAGTTAGTTTACTTTTAAATTAATATATTTACATAATATTAAAAGCTATGTACTTTGTAATTCCTTGGAAAACACATGTAATAATTGAGTCTTTAACGATGGTTAATTAAATCACGCAATCTGACGACATCTGGAGAGCAAATAAATGGATATAACAAATTAATGAATAATGTTTTTCTAGTATCCTTTAGATCCTGTACATGAATATACATATAATACAACCCTGTACAACAAACATTATCAAAGGAACCAACACACCCCACTAGTACAATGGATTGATAAGCAGTGGCACTAGATGTGGGAAATTCAACATAAAAAAAAAAAAAATAATAATAATAATAATAAACAATCATCCTTGAAAGTAATAATTAACTACGTGATTATATTACAAGATACAACAACATAATACATATATCTCAGTGGTACCAAGTGCGGGGAAAATTCAAAATAAACAAACATAATAAACTATGTACTGGGATTACAAGATACAACAACAAAATACATATATCTCAGTGGCACTAGATGTGGGAAATTCAAAATAAACAAACATAATAAACTACGTAATGGTATTACAAGATAGTGGCACCAAGTGCGGGGAAATTCAAAATAAACAATCATAATAAACTACGTATTGGCCTTACAAGATAGAACTCAGTAGCACCAAGAGCAAGAAAAATAATAAAAAACATCCTTGAAAGTAATAATTAACTACGTACTGGCAAAATCATTATTACAAGTTAGTGGCACCAAGTGTGGGAAATTCAAAATAAACAAACATAATTAACTACTTACTGGCATTACAAGATAGAACATACATATAGACCCTTTTTATTTGTTAATTCTCATTTCAAATTTAACTACTTTCTCAAAACACTGTCCTGAATTTTTGGCCTCACATTCCCCACGCTCCGTTAAAAGTTTATTGAAACCACTCTCAATTTCATTAGCTATACTACTCTCTACTGTTAGGATGATTGATTTAGTTTTAAAATTCAATTTACTAACATCACCATCTTTTGTGTATTGGGATTCTATGTAAAATTGAAATCTAACTACCTTGTTTTTCTCTACATTCTTCCTTAGTATTTCTTGAATCTGCTCCCTCAGGTCCTCAAGAAAATCTTCCATACTTCTACATGTTTCCCCGATGTGTTGGACACTCCATCTCTCCACCTTTCCTTGAAATGCACTTCTAACAAGAACTAACTCCATTCCTTTTTATATATCTGAAAAATTTAGAATAATTAATCTTAGTCGGGTTTTGGGATAGCATAGTGTCCGAACGCAAGAGTATCAATTTTGTTTGGTAAAATGTACCGTTTCTTATCATCTGGATTTAAGCATAGCTTTCTCTGTTTAATTAGGGATACTGCCCCCTTTGAAGATGATATTCGTACATTATCTAACCATAGTCCAGTTTTAGTTTCTGCTTCCTTAGGTCGTGTGTTAAAGAGGCTATCTTTATAGTCTTCAAAGTCCACCTCTTTCTGTACTACTCTCTTCTGTGTTCCTTTGCTTTTCTTCTTGTTTGTTTCTTCGATTTTCTTCTTTACATCAAACTTCTTGGTGGCGTACTCCTTACTGCGTAGACCGACAAACTCCGTTAAAATGTTGGGTGCTAGTTCATCTTTGAACTTACCAAGGACCAGTTTATTTTTTAAAGAATGTAAAGGATGTTTAGGGTCGTAATTCCGGGTGTCAAGCTCATTCAAAATTTTGGGGTCGTTAGCTATGTCATTGTATAGGTCTTGAGTGAATATCGTCATAGCATATGCATCGGTATCTTTGTAGTTGATTTGTATGTTGTCCCCGTATTTAGGTTTTAGAACATCATAGTAAAAAGAAAATAAGTGGACTTTACTCAAATCAAGGACTGCTGCACCAATAAAGATGGGTTTGTCAAACACGATTGTCTTTGGGGCCATATTGTACATAACAAGACTTTCACCAAAATCATAACTGTCTATAAACTGCGGGCTAAACGATAGTTTGCTAGCCTGTTCACAAGTCGTTGGGACTACTACTCGGATCCGTTTTTCCACTCGTTCACAAGTCTTCCCTGAAAAAGAAAAGCAAACATTTTAGGGTGGGAAATAGTTAAATTCTTAATAAGATTTAACCCCCATCAAAGAGTGTAGATTTGCAAACTGACCTTATATCTCAGTGTTTTTTTTTTAAAGTTCCTGTGTTATCCATATTATTTGTCAGCTAGATAATTTAATTTTTGTTAATATTTAAGGAAACATGTGCTACAGAAATGAAATATTTAAAAAAAACATTTTAATTTGGGTTGATGTAAATATTACAATGGAATAAAGTGAGAATGTTTGGTCAAAAAGAAAACTGAATTAACGCTGTGCTGAATTTCTTGAGCAATCATTGAAAGACCCGATTTGTAAACTATGATTTATAATCGTTATTATGGACAACCTAATACGGCTATGAGTGGGAAACATTTCTAGAAAAGACCATTATAATTTTTAGCCTATAATAAGTGTTGATCATATTACACTGTTATGTACATCGTGAGTATTTCCATAATCTTTGAATCGACTATCAGAAATTATGACTGTTATTTGTTTCAAAATATTCTCAAATTCAAGCAACAGGTACACTAGTTATCCATGAATTTTTGACATGAGTGTGAAAAGTCTAGGTGTTAATTGACATAACTTGAAAAATATGTGTGAAAATCTAGGTGTTAATTGACATAACTTGTAAAATGTGTGTGAAAATCTAGATGTTAATTGACATAACTTGTAAAATTTGTGTGAAAATCTAGATGTTAATTGACAAAACTTGTAAAATATGTGTAAAAATCTAGGTGTTAATTGACATAACTTGTAAAATTTGTGTGGAACATCTAGTTGTTAATTGACATAACTTGAAAAATTGTGTGAAAATCTAGGTGTTAATTGACACTCACCATATAAAGCATTGTTCATAAGCTTCCAAAATTCCTCTTCAAATGGGTTGCCTGACTCAATTCTCTTTTTGGTCGTCAATTCGACATATGGAGCGATGTATGGGGATTGCCTGAACTTGATTCCTCTGTGGATCTTGGTGAGAATTAGTCCGTGTTCCACAGCCTGTTGTAGAGCTCGGTAATGACAGACATACTTCGTCCTCGAGCCAAGTGTCTCCATTAGCATATTTTGTCCATCAATCACTTGGACCTCGGGTAGGAACGGCATGTCGTTGTGAGTGTCGTGTAGATGATCGGGGTATTGGAAGTCCGCCTCCAAAAAGTAGCCGGTGTCTGAGTCCGGGGGTAGTTGTAGGACTTCTTTCACTAAATCGTCATTCCCCTCAACCCAAGTGAATTCACTTATTGGTAGGTGTTTCGATAAACAAAAGCCATATAAATTATTGGCATCAATATACCATAAATAAGAGGTTGGTTTTGTGGGATCGTAGAGGTGTTCCATATAAGGGTTATTTGCACGGCTTAAGCGGTGTGAGCATCCCACTAATCCTCCACGCATTCCTCTCTGAACAAACTTGACCATTTCTAGGTCAGTTAACAAATCAATTGTTACATTTGTATAACGTAACATGGCATCAAAGGTCAGTCCTGGAGTACTTACATAGTATAGTGGATCGAGTTGGAATTCCCTCATTGACATTGCTCTAAAGTCCTCAAATACATCTGCCAATAGTAAAACGTCACACATCTGGTAAATCATGACATAGTCCTTTAGGGTTTTGCATTCAAAAACTCGCCAAATGGATTTTGCGTGTTCGTAATTTTGTGGATTTATGTCTTCATCTGTTAAAATGGAGTAAAATGATTCCATTGGAGGGAGAGATGTTTCTTCAAGTTTAGAGAGTGAAGAGAGATAGTCGTAGGGTAGAAAGCCTTTAGTGGTTATAAGATTGAATGTTTCGTCCTCAGGAAAGTATTTACGTGATAATGCTTTTTTATCATCACTGAGAAAGCTACTCAGTTTATCCAAAGAGAAAGAGAGGAATCGGTAACTGTCAATAAATTGAACAGTCATGCCACCCATCTTCTTAGTGAAACTTATAAAAGTGTCTGTTGTGTGGGGAATGACCGTGATTTTACCATCTTGTTTTCCTAATTCTGGAATAATGAAATTTGCATCGTAGCGGGAGAGGTTATGAACGACGACATTTACAACCCTCTGGTCTCTGTAAAAAAGATTACAGCGATTGTGGGCTGCTCCATAAAATCGGCCAGAGACATGATCATGTGAGCGTACCTTTTTATTTCTATCATCAAAACCTCCTCTTAAACATATGTGGCATGTAGTAGCTAGGTCAAACTCATGTTGTTGTTGATCGGTAAGTTCAGGGACATCTCTTATTCTCTTTGTATATAACACCTTTTCAATTTTTTCTACATCTTCTTTTAGCATGTCAAATAGCTTGCTTGGAGCATCAAGACCACAGTAGGCTCTGTAGTTGGTCAGCATGTCACTTTCTTCATCTTTTACTAAATATCCGAATGAAAAGGGGATATGTTTTTGTAGAATAACAGTGTTGCTAGATCCGGGTTCTTCAACAGGTATTGTCAATGATTCAAAATCCAGATAAATTGTGAATCGTTTCTTTCTAAGATTCTCAAAATTCCTGAAGTAAAGCTTAGATTTGTTGCCCTTTGGAGTGTCATTAAACAATGGGCCGCCACTAATTCCTTGACAAAATTCTGCGTGTCTTTTGAGCTGTTCTTCTGCTTTCTTGTTAGGTGTGTTGTAAAAATAAGCCCTACATCTTCTACACATTTTTACAAAATGTCGATGTTTAGATATCCTGTTCCTTAGCAATCCTTCAAAGTCCAGGATTAGGTGGTACACATTTCCCACTCTAATCAAATCAAAGTGTTTATCTTCATCTACAAAGCCAACACTGGTGATATACGCAGGAATTAGTTTTCCTTCATGAATAGAAAAAATTGACAGCGAAACACAATTTCTCCTCTCAAAGCTAGGAAAGTCTGTTACATCTTCCCCCCATTCAAATACAGTAGTATTATCCTTAGAAGAAATTGCGTACTTAAAAGATTCTTCTCTGTTTAGTTCAGGGGGAGATTTTTGGATGTATTTCGTGTCTAAGGTTTTCTCACTAAAGCACTGATGAAGTTCCAAATCTTCTTTAGTCTTGAATTTGTCACTACATATGCGACAGAAATAACAACCTCCTGCCATGTTATGGATAAGTTTGAGATGTAAAACTAAAGAACTGTTGGTAGCAAAAGTTTTGCTACACAACCTACATTTAACTCGTTTAGGTAAGAACCGATGTTTAGTTCCAAGGTGAGCTAGGAGACCTTTCTCAGTTACAAATTTTCTAGGGCATCTTTTACATTGGAAATTGGTTGATTTTAGTTCATGATTTTCTTCTAAATGACGTTTGAAGTTGTCAAGTAGATGAAATGAGCTCGTACACTTTGGACAGTAAAATCTACTCTTAGGAAGGTTATGCTTCAATCTATTGTGTAAAACAATGCTCCTTTGATTCTTGAATATTTTTGGGGGAGTACACAGTTTACACAGTATTTTAATGTTGGAGTGTACATTTGTAATATGCCGTGTCAAGTTAGATTGGAGTGTGAATGTTTCATCACAAATGCCACAGTTAAATACAGGTGTATTTCTTGCATGTTTAATAGCAATATGTCGTCTCAAGTTAGATTTTCGTGAGAATGATTCTTTACAAATCTCACAGTTATATACAGATGTATTTCTTGCATGTTTAATAGCAATATGTCGTCTCAAGCTAGATTTTCGTGAGAATGATTCTTTACAAATCTCACAGATATATACAGGTATATTTCTTGCATGTTTAAGACCAATATGCTGTGTCAAATTAGATTTTCGTGAGAATGTTTCTTCGCAAATCTCGCAATTATATACAGGAATATTTCTTACATGTTTAAGAGCAATATGCTGTTTCAAGTTAGATTTATCTTTGAATGCTTTGTGGCATGTGTCACAGCTGAATGTTGAGGATGGAAAATTATGTGATTGGTCTTTGTGGCGTTTAAGGTTAGATTTTCTATTAAATACCAAATCACAGATGTCACAAATAAACTTTTTATGTACAATTTTTATATGACTATCCAGCTCATTTTTCGTCGCATATGCATTTGAACATAATGAGCATGGGAAAAAGCCAGTATCTCCGAAACTAGAAGTAGATGGTTGTGGGTCGTCCATCTGCCCTAAAAGAAAAAAAAAGAACGAAATAGAAAGAAGGTTTTGAATCAAAATAAAACAAACATTGGAGAGAATGATGACCCACAGTCGAGGCTCATTAATGCAAAGTGAAAACGAAAGCATGCCCTCCCGTTACTGGACTCAGAACCGGTTTATGTCAATGACCCGACCCACCTCAACTCACCCGACCCTGTAACTCGACTTTGCTCCAAATCTCTCTAGTTCGTAGTAAGAAATCATTAATATCGCATTACCCTTTTAAGACACGTTGGCTAGAGCATAGCCATAAGGCCCATCGTGCAAACTGGTATTAGATTTAAAAAAAAAAAAAAAAAAAAAAAAAACCAATTATAATTTAGTTTAGACAACCTTTATGTTCTAAGATTATACCCGGTATAAAATAACATGCAAACTAATAACATTAGACTTCTCATTCCACTGTAAATTTTAAAGTACATTTTTGTGTCTAGTTTATGTACGGTGACACTGGGCGCTAGTGTCGACAACATTTTGTTTCTATTATTTTAGGGTTAATTTCTTAATTTGTGCTTTACTGTTTAGTTATATAACCAGGGGACAAGTTATTGTTCATGATTGGATCGTATTATTTGGTTAAACGAGGTTATAAATGACTGTAATATTGTAAACAAAACACGACCTCTACATAAACCGTACAGAACTAACAATAAAATTGTCTTCAGCTGTTCCATAAGGATGAGAAATCTAGCTAGTAACTATTCATGTTTAATGTTTACTTACCACATATAGGAGGAAGGTCTATTACTGAATTGTGGTGGAAGTTGTAGCAAAATATTAGCTGAAAAAAAAATGAGTCAATAATTTCACACCATTATATTCATTATATTTACATATCACTCTTATAAGCAAAATACCACTCATTTTTAATAGTCAATAACTAACGGTTGCACATAATAATCTCAATAAAAACAGCTCCTATGATTGTAAAAAATATCTATGCTAGACTCTGTTCTGGGAATATTAGTTGAAAACTTTAATATATTTTACTAAATTGTAACAAATCAGTAGGACATTACAAAGGAAAATGACATTCCTATGAATGAATGATACATTTGGTATGTATGATGTATTACTAAGAAAAGAGTAATTAGAACTGTTCAAATATACACGATCTATATCTATAAAAGAGGAAATATGTATGTATATACCCTAGTATGGTCTCCGAAACCGCTTGACAATTTGTAATAAAACTTTCAGGCATTCAAGGATGGTTTGTGTTAAGTTTGATACAGACCCGTCAAAATGGTTCTACCCCAGTGATTTTTAAGGGAATTTTACAACTAGAATATAATGTTTATGTATGTCTAGATGACATTTTGTATTTTTAAACAAAATTGACGCATTGTTCCACGATACCAGTGATACCAGTGACTAACGCAATAACGGTCAACAACTTATCCACATGAAAGAGTTTATTCTATAATTAAGAATGAGAGAACGGCTTAATTAATCCAAAATTATCTGTAGACTGAGTTATTCAACCTCTTAAACGAATTAAACACCTTGAGCAATGCTCATTCCCCTGGAATTAACATGTAAAATGTCTATGATGAAACTTTTTGTAACTTGGTATCCAATTAAAAACTCCAACAAAACATGAAGCCAATTACAATAATTTACCTTTAACATACTAGAAAATAGGGATTCTAAAGATGACTAAAAAGAAAACGGTTACTTACCAAATAATATAGGTAGTGTTGAAAACAGGGTACATGAGACACTCTCCAACCATAAACTGAAATAAAATATTATATCAATATTTTATGTCAACTCAACAATAAGTAATAAGTAATATTATAAATGTGAAAGTTTGTGTGTTGATTTGAAGTTCAATCACACATTAACAAATGGACAGATTGAGCTGAAATTTGGCATGATGATAGCTCATATTCCCAATATAGGTATATTCTTATCTAAAAGATCTCCGCCCCAGTGGCTCTGTAGTTCCCCATGTTAACATTATGAGGGAATTAAAGAATTTATTCAGCTGTTGATTCTATGATATGCAAAAGACTTAAAAAGTTATTGGGTGCAGCATTATATATGACAACCGCTAATTTGAACTAAGTAGCAACAAAAGTGTAGTACCCAGTGAGAACTAACTGTCAAAGTAGGCATGTTTATAGCGATTTTATATTTTTAATTTCATGAATAATTTATGATATTTTGAAATCTTTAATAATTCTTTTTCTCTATTATTTAGGTAAAGTACTGGAACATGATGGCTATGATAGTTGTGTAATAAAATATTATACCATAAATTTAAACTGTGTCCTCCCCCATTGCAAGCGCTAAGTAAGAGTATTATCTGCAATAAGCATTTTACACTGATGCCAACCACGTACGAAGGACGGGTACTCTGCTAGTTAATAATAAAATTCTCAAGATGATAAAGGTTTAACCCTAACTCAAAAATATGACAGTAACAAAGAACTCATTCTTATTCAATACATTAATATTCAGTACACAGTGTACTACAGTTATATAGTATTAGTGTATAGTTATACGGAATAATAAAAAATAGACCCAGAAATATTCTAAATCGAACAGTGTTAGGGTTTATAACATATTTCTCAAAAGTGTTTCCTCATTTAATTTGTACAATTAAAATCAAAATCAGCTAAGAAATCACTGTGCACGAGAATTGTCCAATGTAACAAGATAATCTAAAGGTTGAATAGAGTTAGAACTATCAGACAAATGTAAAGAGTTACATACCTTAGATGTGCTGGGACACTAGTGTCGGCAAGGAGATGCGATTCGCAACTGCGCAGATCACTGACCTGCCTCCATTTTATACTGCAAATTTGCCGTTCATCTAACGGGAGTGTTACCGTTACACAGAATCATTCGCAACTGCGAAGATCACTGCTGACCTGCCTCCATCTACTGCGAATTTACCGTTCATCTAACGGGAGTGTTACCGTTACACAGAATCGCAGAATCGGAAGAAGGTACCAGGAGGCAGAGCTCAATTTTTGCAAACCTTCTCATCGCTTGGTAGCAGTTGAATGATTTCGTTGTTTATCAGTTTAGTAAGGATTACACGGTATTTATATATTCTCTGCTCATCATCCAGTGAATAGCAGTCTCACTCAAAATATATATTCAAGGCAAAGCACTCAAGTAACAAGATTTGTGAAGTTCAATAAATATCGTTAACTATAAACAGTACACGGTGTTGCTCCTCATATACAGTGGATAGCGTTTTTACACAAAATATATACTCAAACCAAAATAATCAAGTAAAAAGATTTATTAAGTTCAATAACACCCAGTAAAATATCATAAACTATAAACAGTAGACTACACGGTGATAATCCCAATACCTCACTCAAAATAAATATTCAAGGCAAAGCAATCAAGTAATAAGATTTGTGAAGTGCAAGAACTATCATTAACTATGAACAGTACACGGTGTTATTCCTCCTCATCCAGTGAATAGTGTGTGTACATAAAATATACATTACAACCAAAACAGGTGAAACATCATGAGTAAAATATCTGTACACATGGTGAGGTGCTATGGTACAATTGGGGTTGCTCCTCCTGCAGTGAATAGCCTTTTTATACGTTGCTTCTCATGCAGTAAATAGCATATATATCCAAAACATATGTATCCAAAACAGGTGAAACGTAAAATATCGTGTACACATGGTGAGGTGCTATGGTACAATTGGGGGTTGCTCGTGCTGCACCTCATCCAGTGAATAGCATTTTTACACTACTTGTATGGATGTATGTATGGATGTATGTTTGTGACAAGTGAACGCATTAACCACTGGACGGATTTTGCTGAAATTTGGCATGATGATAGCTCACATTCCCGATTAACATATAGGCATATTCTTATCTCGAAAATCCTAGTGGCTCTATAGTTCCCCATGTTAACCTTATGAGTATTCATTTTAAAAGGGAATTAAATAATTTAGTCAGCTGTTTCAACTAAA